TAACATGTTTAACTTCTATGCTTTTTCTTCCCACTATCTATCCTACTTATCCCTCAAGAGTTAAGTTCAAGTCCTATCTTCCAGCAAGCATTGCTGGTTACACATGCAATCTATGCCTTAACTCAGCTCAGTTCACCAGCATACACTGCTATCAAAGCACTGCTGTCACGTTGCAAAACAATTAACTACTGACTTGTACGGTTCATACAACAAACTGTGAACTTACTGAAAGCAAGAAACCCAGTATATTTAGCTATGTATCCTCAGAGTCTGGGACATACATGGCACTCAGCAGGAGGTCGATGACATTACGAATATGAAATTATAGTAAGAAATATTTATAGAACAAGAATTTAAATTTAAAGACTATTTACAAAACTGTGAAAGTCCCTGAAAGCAGGAAGGAGTGTTATACAACACAAAACTGGAAACTGAGAAAGTGCAAATTTAACTGATAATATCTAGAATTTGGAGTTAATTTCATTAGCATCACAAGAGATAATTTCCACTTTACCTCCACAACATTTGAAAAACCAAAAGAAAAAAGATTTATCATTATAAACTATGAAATTACTGAATTAAAATTGTAGGATTTACAAATAGTATTTGAGGGCAAATGAAGTGCTTAAACTCTGATTGCTCACAGTGCTATAAACATTAGAAGAGCTAAAATACTTCATAAAAGTCCTTTAGGTTCATTTCACATAGGGACCAACTGCACTCACTTTTAAGTCTCTTTTAATGTTTTAACTTCAACCAGAACATTCATTCTTTCTGATAAAAGAACCCTTACCTTTTACAGCATCCACAACTTTTTGTAATCAGTTCTGATCTTTAAAGAGGAATTAAGATTTATTGTGTGAAATCTAATTAGTTCTTTTAAATCTTGATAATAGAAACTTCATACTTTCTCAGAAAACACGTTACCAACATTTCAAAAGGTAAAGAGCTCTTTGTAATTAGAATATTCTTTTCATGTGTTAGAACTTTGATTTGCAGAATTAGAGACCCTGTGCTAAAAAGTTGGGAACCAGGGGAAAATACCAAAGAATGAACGTTTACTTCAAAAATAATGCAGTCACGTATTTTATACCATAAGTCAGCTTTTCCAACTTATGTGTGTTCCTTTCAACCTGCACTGACTGCAATTACATTTCAGAACATTCTAAGTTCAAGCATTCCATAGGTCACCTTGTGACTTCGACATTTTTTAGATTTTAAAAGTCCATGTAAACAGAGAGCTACAAAAATAAAAAATTTTAACTATTAGATTATCAGAGAAAAAATGTTCAAAAAGATTTATATGGCATAACTTTGATGTGGTATGACCAGTAGAAAAACAAATTTCAGAACACAGGGACAGCAATTTTTTAATAATTTAGTCTATGAAAGATTTAGCCTTAAATTACAATATGCCAATGTGTAATATATAATGCATGAAGTATAAGTCTAACAATAAGCAAAAATAGCAACCAATATTTGCAGTACTCATTTCTCAAGTACCACGTGAAAATACTTAATGTATCCCTCTGCTGCTAAATTACAGCTAATTTCCATATAATTTATCTACAACAAAATATTTACCAATTCCCTATTAGTCTTATTAGGAAATGTCAAAGTGTTTATTCTATATCTAAATTGCCTCTCCTGATACTTTATAAACTAATTCAAGAACACTTCCACCAAGGCCAAAATATAAACCTCAGAACTCACTGAAGGATTTGTGGGTCAACCTGTTTGGCAGTTTTACTGTGTGTTTTTCTGTGGGGGGAAGGGGGGAATGACTGGTCTTGTTTTGATTTTTTGGTTATAAGCATAGATTTTATATTTTCAAACATAAATGATACATGAATAATACAGCAAACTAAAATTCTAAAGATACATTCTTTCAACCTCCAAAAAATATTCATCCTTATCTGCAAATACAGGTTCAGGTCTATTTTTCATCAAAAACACAACAGTTAATTTTTATATTTAAATATCTTACTAGAAAAAAATCTATAAATTAAATTGTTTAAAGAACACAAGTTTTACAGAAATATTAAATTACACAACAAATACTGATAATCCAGCATGTTTTCAAAACAAATATGACTGCCTAGATAACAAAGAAATTCAATTTTATTTACCTTTCCCCCACATGGGTAAGGCACGTCAAAACACACTAAGAGGGGGGCACCTGGCTGGCTCAGTCAAAAGAGCATATGACTTCTGATCCTGGGTGTGTGAGTTTGAGCCCCACACTGGGCGTAGAGATGATTAAAAAAATAAACTTAAAAATATATGTATGTAGTATCTATCAGAAGCTATTCAGAAGGCATCTTTGGGAAGTATTCCACATAGAATTCCAGTTTATGTTTCTCCGAAAACACGGGACAAGCCCTGTCCCAAGTCACTGAAGAAACAGTAACATTTAAAAGGCATAATTCCAGCAAATATAACACAAGAATTTATAATTGTGGTGTTCCTTTTGAAAAGCGAAATGTTTCAAATTTCTGGCACAAAGGTCACCAATTGTTGTATGAGTCTGGCTACAATTATCACAACACAGCTCTAATCAACTTTCTGAATATGGTAGTTGAAAAACTTAAAAACCCAGCTGTAGGCTATTATTCTATCTTGGTATCACTCTTTAATACAATTTAAAACAAGAGAATAACACTTGAAAACCGTGTTAACAATGAAAGATCAGCAAACAAATGCCAACCTGAGATCAGTAAACGAATGCCAACCTGAGTTAAATGTAGTTTCTTCAAAAACTAAACAAACACAAGATAACAGTTGTAATCTTAGAAACAGGCCAGATCCACCCCTCAAAACTAGCATTTCAAAAATATAGTTTTATGTTACCTTTATGTATTTAAGCCATTTGAAAGTTACAAATCTTAAAGCCTTTATTTACTTGTCTAAGATCTATTTTTCAAATGTCTATTCAAAATTAAGTAAGTTTCACAGTGTACCTTATGTCCAAATAAATATTTAAAAGATTTATCCTATTCAGTCCAAACTCCATAGGTAGGCAAGAGTCACATACATATATTATTCCTAAAAATTCTTGTCACTGTCACATAGAAAAACATCAACACTTGATAAACTCAAACTATAAATGTAGGCTTACTTAATGTTGCGCATTGTGCCCACGAGCTAAGTTTCTTCAAATTCATGTTAACAGTTTAAGGGCTATGGCATTGAAGGATGAAGGTACAAATTAGTACACTAATAAACTGAGGTCTTTAAAATCAGACAATTTCTTGGTGTTAATGCTACATTCGAATACAAAAATGCTTGGTTACACAAGTATACCCTAGAATTCTGACAAACAAAAAATTTTACACCCAGGAATCTCTTTGAGTACTACTAGAAGCTGACATTTATGAAGAAGTGTACAAAACGAAGCTGCACAAGTGAAAGCTTAGAGATATAGTGTTGGTAGTTATGATGGAAGCCAATACTATACAGTACACATCTGCAGCCCAATTTTGCTTCAGCATCCCCAGAGACTTAAAAAACATTTCTTTGGATAGGTTGCAAAACATTGCTTCCTCTTTTTTTCACATCTCACCCCCATTATGATACAAAGCAACACACAAAACCAAATCACCAACTGTAAGGACGGAAAGCTTAAAAACTCACACAAAAGCATCTTTCCAACTCTCAGAGTCGGTATTCATTCCACCTGTTTGTAAATCCATACTAACACAATAACACAAAACCGCTGTCGACTTAAAAACGGGGGGAGGGGGCAATTAATGGTTTGAAGTCATTCTTCTACCTAGGCATGGGGCGGGGGAGGGGGAAGGTACAAAACAATGGATGCTGAGGGGCTGGGGGAAAATCTTTTGGCCCAGAAACCTTCGGCGTTAAGAGCTAGGGTAGGGGTGGGGGGGGCAGTACGGGGCGGGGAGGGGGGGAGCGAGGAGGAGATAAGAGTACTTTTCCTCTATCCCTAAATGCTGCCGCGGAAAGAGGTTGCCACCAGGCAAGTCCAACAGGGCGGTCGTGGATGCCTACAACTCGCCTCACCAGGCACCATACCCAGAGCCAACTCACCACTCCTCACCGAAAGGAGAGAAGACGGGGCGAGAGCGGGGGGCTCTGAGGAGGGGCGAGGAAATACCCCACCCCGCACCACTAGCGCTGCGCCAGGGCCCCCCGCCAACGACTTACACAGCTCCCCGACGCCCACGGGGCGCCCAGCAGCCCGGCCCAGGTGCCCCGGGGAGCAGAGTGGGGCAGAGCCGTCCGCCTGGCGCCCCCCGCCCGCGCCCGGGCGCTGCCCCGGCCGCCCGCCGCCACCGCAGGCCCGGCCCCGGCCGCTGTCACAGCCGAGCGGCTCACTTTCGGCGCCCGCTGCGGGGCCCCGCACCAGAGCCGGCTCCGAGGGCCCGGCCCTTCCTGAGACAGCACCCAGGAAAGCGGCGGCGGCCGCGGCGCCTCCCAGGGCCCCAGCCCCTCGGGCCTCGCCCCGGCCCCGCCGGCTCTAGCCCCTCAGGGCGTGCGGGGCCTCCCCCTACCGACAGCCACCCGGACCGCCCGACGGGTAAGAAAGAAGGCAGGAAGAACCGACCGACAAACGCCCTCCCGCCGCCGCAGCAGCCCCGGGTTACCGTCAGGAGCCCCAACTCCGCCATCCTCTTCGCTCGCCCTCCTTCCTCCTCCTCCTTAGAAGCGACGCTGCCCAACCGCCGCCCCCCGCCCGCCCCTCCCCCACTCGCCCCGCCCCGCCTGCCCCTCCACACACTCTTGCTCCTACCGCCCCGCCCCACCCCTCAGGCTCAGGCCCGTCACTCGCTGAGGGAGAAAAACAGGCGGGGCCAGGGCAATCGACGCTACCCAATCACAGTGAGGCACTGGCGCCAACGACGCTGTCCAATCAGAGCGAGGCACTGGCGCCAGCTTCCCTCGCTCCGCCCTTTTCCTTTCCTCAGCTGCTCTAGGCCCCCTCTCCCGCCCACTGGGCGCCGCTGGCAAGCCCGGCCACAGAGTAAGCCTCCGACCGGGTAGAGGGACAACTGGCAAATCGGAAGTTACTGTTGAAGCTAAGGCAGCCATAACTGCTAAGGGCAAAGGGAGTTTCCTGGCCTCCCGTCTCCAGTGTGACGTAGTTCTCCCTTCGCCCAATCTCACCGTTGCCCCGGGCAACAGTCGAGCGGTCTGGGGAAGAGAGGAGTCTGTAAGTAGGCCCGAAAAGGACCAAAGGTGACCGGACATCCCAGGTTAGACACCTTAATTCATATTCAGAACTGCCTACCCGAGCTGGGGGAGAGGAAAGCGCAGGTTTCCTGGCCCTTATTTTGCTGGGACGTCTCATCACTTACCTAGGTGGACAAAAGGTTAGGGTTCCGAAAATCCCTGTCCCGCCCGGAAGTTGCATTTGGCACTTCTGAATGGGGTCATGGCAGAAGGGTGGGAATAGCCCCCGGCACCCCAGGGAGTGCCCATTTCCACGGGAGTCTCCAGGTGAGGTGAGGGTCCGGTCAGCCCTGTCCCGTGAGGCAGGCCCGAGCTAGACGTCCCGCGGGAGACGGAGAGCCGGGGAGGGGAGGGGGTGTTCTCAGCCGCTTCCGCTGGAAGAAGGTTTTGCTTCCGGGCTGGCCTGACGGCGGCCCGCCCTACCTCCGCCCCTCTGAGGTTCCCTGTCGGGCGAGGCCGCTCCACCGGCCCTTCAGACCCAGCTGCAGCCCGCGGGGCCCGGGAGCTGGAGGGGGGGCTTCGGCCCGCGCCACTGGGCGGAGCCCCGCCCTCTAGCTGCTGGGGCTCGCGACCGCGCCCCCTTAAATTTCTATTAAGTCCTTTCATCCCGGCCTTTGGAGGACGGAGAATTAGGGAGCTTGAGGAAAACGTTTTCCGTTGCCAGCTAGAACGGGAGAAGGTGGTCCTCCACCACAGCGGCAGCACTTTCCACCTTCTGTCATAACGTTCTTAATTGTCTTCCTTTTCTTTATTTCTCCTCTTTTGTGGGTTCGTAAGCATTGGCTGCAGTTCTGGGTAAAGGTATACCGTCCTAATCCTCCATGTCTACGTTTTATTAACTTTCTGCTTGTGAATATTCTTAAAAATACCGTAATACGTTTACATGGCTCTTCCCAAGAGTTGTCACACCTGAACTCATGTCGTTCCTCCCGTAGGCTTGAGTCAAGAACTATCAGATTGGCAATAACTGGGTTGGATGCCAAAAGTTGCCGGGGGGGAGGGGAAGACCAGGAGAACTTTCTCAACAAGGGTGCAAACCTACCTTCATTACTTAATCTCTTTCTACTTCCTTACTTCCTTACTTAATCTCTACTTCCTTACTCCTGATGCTTTAACCAAAATGAACTACTCTGGTTTCTTCCAAGATTAATCACTGAAGCACTAACCTTTTGTGACTCTATATTAATGTCTTAGTTGTCCTCGGAGATGTGTTTCCAGATTCTCTCCAACAGGAAGTAATTTCCTCTGCGCTTACCTAGCACTTTCTGTACTTCTTTTATGACAACCATTATTTTATAACAGCTGCTTACGTCCTTAGCTTTACTGCTTGCTGTGCTTATATCTAAATAAAATGGTGTATATCAGATTCATCTGTCTATCATATCATCTTGTACATGATGTTATTTTGGTAGGTGCTTACTGAAAGATTGAATACATTTGGTGTCCTGGGTGCCTAAGACACTGCCAGCTTTAATTTATCAAATTTAGTGTAGTTCCTGTTACTCAGCCTTTTCCTAGTCTTCCCCTCTGAAGTCTTTCCAACATGATTTCTTCCCTCAATTTAAAAAAAAAAAAAAGAAACCATACATAAAAAAAGTTGAAGGAATGCAATATTCATATACCCTTACCTAGATCCGACAGCTGTTAACATTCTACCAAATTTTTTTTATTTCCTCTCACTTCTTTCATTGTCATTGATCTATTTGGAAATAGGTTACAGACACCTGTTAAGCAGGCACCTCTAAATTAATTTCCAAAATGTATTCTCTAAGGATTATAAAGTTCTGCAAAACACAGTATCATTATCACAAGTAAGGAAATTAATAGTTTTGTAATATTTCAAATCTAGTCTGTATGTGCATTCTCCCACTTGACCCAAGAATACTTTTTATACCCTTACCCCTGCTCCTCCAACAAAATTCAGTAACCAGTCAAGGTTTATGTATTGTGCTTGGGTATTGTAACTCTTTAGCATTAATCGAGAACAATTCCCCTATTTTTTTTTTCTCCTGTGACACGGGCGTTTTAAAGAGTTCAGATCAGAGGTCTTTTTGAAGATCTCCTTTTTTCTTATTTCTTGTAAACCAGAAGCTGATCTAGAGGCTTGATTCGATTCCATTTTACATTTTTTTCCTGAGAACACTTCACAGTACTCATACTTCTATAATCATAATTAATGATTAAGCCTTCTCAAATGTAACTGTCTACCAGTGCCATGAGTTGCTCCTTATATCCATCCCACTTCTTTATAAACAAACCCTTGTATGGTGTCCTACAAAGAAGAATTTAGCATTCAATCCTCCTGCCGGTTGAGAGGAAGTGCTAGAGTCCTGGGCTGACTGTCTACCTTTAGTAAAGTATTGCTGCTACTTCGCCTATACTTGTAGCTGATGCAATATAATCTGCAGCAGTATACTGATGTCAGCATAGTTTCATGAGTTTCAACTCCTGGCACCCTGAGGACTGTTGATGAAAGATGTGTGGGCCCTGCAATTCAAATACAGATGAATCTTGATGTTATCAAAGCAGATACCAAGGCAACTGCTGGCCATCTGGTATTTTGTGTGAGTAGGATGTGTCATTTTCTATTAACTTAATAGTAGTGTCTGCTAGTGAAGTATACCATCATCCAAGTTCATCCAAGAAGAACAGTTCCTGTTCTTAGGCCTAGGCACATTTCAGAAGCTAGACACCGCACATTTTATTCACATGAGTCTAAATTAATTAGCCAAATTGAACATGTTGCGACATTTTTCTACCAGCAGATGCCAGATAGCAAACACAGTAGAACTACTATAGTTTCCAAATACATGGCATATGATGTTATTTGGCATCTCCAGATGAACATTATCAATCCAAATTAAGCACTCTGCTAGCATGTGGGCAGCCAATTGAGTGAGAATAAGAACTACTACTTTGTGTCTGCTAGAAAAACACTTTCTTTTTGAGCTCCCTGTTTCACCTTCATGTTAATTTACATTCAGAAATCTAATATGAAAATTTGAAAATTCATCTATTATAGCCAATCATAAGTCTTGAATAATACAAATAAAATTTTTCATATTTTTCCTGTAACTCCTGCCACCCCATCCACAACCTGTACTGGGCAGACTGAATTTTCTTTTTTTTTTTTAATTTTTTTTAAATGTTTTATTTATTTCTAGGAGAGAGAGAGAGAGACAGCGTGAGCAAGGGAGGGTCAGAGAGAGAGTCACAGACTGAAACAGGCTCCAGGCTCTGAGCTGGCAGTCAGCACAGAGCCCGACGCGAGGCTCGAACCCACGAACCGCGAGATCATGACCTACGCAAAAGTCGGACGGTTAACTGACTAAGCCACCCAGGCGCCCCTAGGCAGATTGAATTTTCTTTTTTAATTTTTATTTATTTCTAGGAGAGAGAGAGATAGACAGCGTGAACAGGGGTGGGTCAGAGAGAGAGAGGGAGACACAGACTCTGAAACAGGCTCCAGGCTCTGAGCTGGCAGTCAGCACAGAGCCCTACGCGGGGCTCGAACCCACGAACCGCGAGATCATGACCTAAGCGAAAGTCGGACGCCTAACCGACTAAGCCACCCAGGCGCCCCGGCAGATTGAATTTTTTTAAAAGGATCTAAATTAATAAATATTCACCAAAAAATATCCTTTACATAAACAAATTGCTTCTGGTACCTCCCTCAGTTCTCAAAGATTGTATTTGGTTTCTTAATACCTATTAATGATAAAATAGGACAATTTGGCATATAATGTGTTGTAGTCGTTCTGTGTTCTACTGAAGTTGTGAAGTCAAGTGCCTGTAGCAGTGAGGATGGTAAGGGAAAGGGAACATTCGGCAGTAGTGGGGACTAGACAACTCTCCACAGTCATCTGGGACATTACTTTCCAGCCCTAGCCACACTTTGCCATGTGAGAGGTGTTGCCAGATTTGCCAAGAGGAGCTGAAATTTGGACTTTATGAGAAATATCTGATTTTTAAGTATAGGCTCAAATACTTTTAAAATATTTAGCAAGCCAGCAAAACATTTAACCAGATAGGACCAAGGGCCACCAGTCTATGATGTATGTTTCTTACATGAAAACAGGATTGGCAGTTAGGCCAGAATCTGAAAATACTTCAGAAATGTTTTTCTAAACATATTTCAGGTGCATTCATTTTCCTTGGTTAGGCAACAAGCCATTTGTCACTTCCATCAAAAATTCCAGAGGGGCACCTGGGTGGCTCAGTCGGTTAAGCGTCTGACTTCGGCTCTGGTCATAATCTCATGGTCTGTGAGTTCATGCCCCATGTTGGGCTCTGTGCTGCGGCTCAGAGCCTGAAGCCTGCTTCAGATTCTGTGTCTCCCTCTCTCTATGCCCCTGCTCCAGTCATGCTCTGTTTCTCTCTCTCAAAATAAATAAATAAAAACATTAAAAACATTTTTTAAAAAAAGATTCAGTGATAATCTATGTGTGTTAAGGAAGGAATGTACTCTGTCTCGGGTGTAATTCATCTTGTATCTAAAAACACATGATTCTGTGAAATACAGAATATTTATTTCTTAAAAAAAAAAAAGAAAAAAAAAGAAATTCCAGATAGAGTCTTATATATACCAAGCTTCTATTCCCTATAATTTTAAAGGTTTTTACTCTTTGCCACCAACTTAAAAACTTGCTCACATTTTCTCAACCTTCAATTATATCAATTATATTATAAAATAGATTTGCTTTATCATATTCTTTTATTATTTTTTAATGTTTATTTATTTTGGCAGAGAATAAGCGGGGGATGGGGCGGGGAGAGAGAGAAAAAAAATCCTAAGCAGACTCCACACTCAGTAGATCTCACATTTGTGAGATCGTGACCTGAGCCAAAATCAAGGATTGGATGCTTCACTGACTGAGCCACCCAGGCACCCCCAAAAGATTCTTATCCACTGTATCTCCATCATTTAACTGTGGCTGTCATACTATAGACATGGTATATTTGTTGAAAGGAAAAATGTGTTTGGATAGGAACACATGACCTCAAATTCCTCTTTTGTTACATTTGTTTTCCATTCTGAAAGAATAATTCCCTTGTCCCAAAAAGAGCATCCTTTCTACTCCAGTCTTTACCGTCCAGTGTTTAAAGTTCTGTCCTTATAAATATATAGCCATTAACATTAATTTTTATCTTCAGTAATTATTTTATCCATGTATAACTTATTTTGATCAGTTTTTCACTAATGGTAATAACTCAATCCAGAATAGTTTAGTTTTTCATTTGTAAACACTTTTGTAGAGAAATATGGTAGGATAATCAATCATTAAAATGTGGTTAAGTATGAAAATATATTACAGTAAAATTAAGTGGAATGGTAATAGAGGTCTAGGGAGAAAAACACTGTAAAGTTTGACTTAAGTTCTTCATTCTTTTTACTAATGGAGAATAATAGCTGTCAAAATTTTATGATTGAGATTGAATTGGATATGTTTTTAAGACTGATATGGGGTGCCTGGGTTGCTTAAGTTGGTTAAGCATCCAACTTTTAGTTTCAGCTCAGGTCATGATGTCATGGTTTGTGGGTTGGAGCCCTGCTTGGGATTCTCTCTCCCCCTCTCTGCCCCTTCCCCACATGCACTCACTCTTTCCCTCTCCCAAAATAAATAAATTTCAAAAATTAAAATGAAAAAATAAAAGGCTGATATGTTATTTTTAAATATACTGGAAATTATGTCTTTAGAACGATTTGAACTTAATAATTTATATGTCAATTTAGAAATGTGTAAAGGGGTATTTAGTTTTTCTACCTAGTTTTTAAAATTCTCAGGGCATCTGGGTGGCTTAGTTAGCTAAATGTCCAACTCTTGATTTCCACTCAGGTCATGATCTCAGTTGTTCAAACCCTTTGGCAGGGCTTTCTCTCTGTGGGCTTTCTCTCTCTCTCTCTCTCTCAAAATATATAAGTAAACTATAAATAAACTATAAATGAATGAACAAATGAATGAATAAATGGAATAAAAATCTCAGTGCATGTTAATGCAAGCATAAAAGTTGAGGACCACAGACATATATTCTCTGGGTTCAGAAGGACACTTTAGTACTCTTGTCCAGTCCCATACACAATTTAGTTCAAGTATCAAATTAAGTCAGTCCAGAAATTTTTAACTTGTCCAATGTAAAATTAACTTGTGTTATCAACATGTGTATGATTGATATAAAGTAGTAATCCTTCCTAGACTTGTGTCTTTCAACTCCCACTCCAACAGCTTTGTAAAATATTTCATGACAGAAATTTGGTTTCCCTCCAAGTTCTTCTGCATTAATTGTAGGCACATCCAGCTCAATGGCTACAACAGATTTGCTTACTTTGACATGACTTTGAAATGTACTATCCATCAAAACCATTATCTCTGGAACAAATTACAAACTAAAGAAACTATGTGGGAAAAGTAGTAGATTATTTTCCAATTATCCAGACCAAGAACTTCAAAAAATTATTGACATTATATTCTCCAAGCATTAAAAGTTTGGGTTCTATTAGTGTAAGAATTTTACTTCTGCAATGTGTTTTCTCTTAAAATATACCTTGACAAATGTATCATTTTAAAATCTGGCATAGTTGTCCATTGTATGGCTGTTACAGAATTTATTTAACCTGTGACATATTGCTGAATATTTAGATTCACCTACTGCTGAACATTTTGCTATTCAATGCAATGCTTTAATGAAAATTCTTATGTCTTTATCCACTGGTGCATTATATCTGTAGGACCCATTACTAGAATGCTTGGGTCAAAGGAAATGTGCATATTTAGCTTCAGTAGATAATACAAAATATTAATAGATACTACAAAATACCTAAAAAAACCTGTACCAAGAAACCCACTCACCAACAAAGAATGCCCATTTCTCTGTACCTTCTCTAACTCTGGATACTATCAGCTTTTGACTTTTTTGCAATTTCCAAAGATCTAACATGCACACCAAATTGTCACATGATTTTCACCTCCTTCATGAGCTCATGATCATTTTCTTAAACTGCAGTACCCACCTCAGCACTCCTAAATCCCCTTAAACTGTTTTATTTTCTATTAACTTACTACCTTGTAACATCTTATTATTTATTTACTCTAGAGTGTAAGCTCCAAAAGGTTTGGGGTTTTGTCTGTTTTGTTCACTAAAGAACAGTGCTTTGCACGTAATAGACATGTATTTATTGAATTGAATGACATGGAACTTGTATGATACATGTGAATTTCTGTCACAGCTGGTATGTTTCTTCTTTGACCTATTTGTCCCTAGTGTTACATACATCTTACCTTATCATAATAAGAAAATACCTAAGGAGCAACCACAACTCCTTAGGGCACATTACACCAGACAATACACCCATCTTTGGCTATTAGCAGGCCACCTGGTGAAGGAAAGAAATGTTCCTTCCTACTGTGGACTCCCTGGGCAGTTGATTATCAAGACACTGTAGCCTTGCCAATGAGGGCCATCCAACCACCACCTTGCTTATTTTAGCCCTTCCCTTCCTGTTCCTCTCCTGCCAGTGCCTGGGGGGGCTGGGAGGTCTAGGAACAATAGCCAACCCTAGTGAAGCCAACACTCCACCCAGGCAAGTGACTGCCAGCACTGTTCTTCCCCGCACCAGACCCAGCCCACTCCCTACCAGGCCTTTGGTTCCACACCCTTTCCAGTAACAATGGCAGCTTAGTGAAACAGAGAACTAAGATTTAGTAGAGCACCAAGTTTCATTGTTTTCCTCAAGCCAGATTTTGGATGTGAAAGAGGTACAGACTAGAAGGAGCAAAGGATTGTGACTGAGTTCTGAGTAGCTGAAGTTGCTACTCTATAAAACATCGAAGATTTTAAGTATTCATCCACTGTTTTGCTGATAAAAATTGATGATACAAAAACTCATGGCTACTATGTTATTTCTTTTCACATTTATCAACATCTGTAATGTCTATCCTCCCTTTTGGCAGCATCCCATGTCAGATTTGCAACAAATAAAGGCCTACTGAATATGTTCATTGTGATATTTTAGTGGAGAAGCTGTTTATTATAGCTTATATTATGGTTCATAATTCAGGCTAATCAGGGATCTGCAGTGCTATTAGCTTTCAACATAACCAGGAATAAAAAGGGAAATGATCGCTAGATACCACTGGCAGGCCTAACAAGAAAAGAATGTGGCTGAAGGAGAAGTTGTGCATTCTAAGGAAATTGCATATTATACTTATCTCAGATCCCATTTAGTGAGGAGTTGCTGCTTTATTCCTGGCCCATTCTCTATTTCATCTTCACCTCGGAAAACAGAGCAATGTAGGGGTTAAACTTTGATGACAAAGTTCTAGAAAATGGATAGAGGTTCCTTAGGAGCTTTAGATGTTCCAGAACAGGAATTTGAATGAGAAAGCAGAGGCTTGGTGGATGGAATAAGGATTTTAATTACAAGTGTCAAAGTGGTAGAGTGGGAATAACTGAGACGGGGAGCAGCTTCACTTGATTATAACTAATTTCCAGTGGGCAGTAAGGGCAAGCACCGCACCAGCATCACTTTATAAATAATAAATCTTTCTTCTGTGGTGATGTTGTGAAAGGCACATGGTAAGGGTTGCATCACTATGGTGAAATATCACAAAATGGGTGGGACTGTCTAGAGAAGTGTTTGTAAAAGGATCATGCTACAAATTACAATCTAGAACACCTTGACTATACAACATAGCAGTAATCTGGAATGTAACACTGGAAGCAAATGCCATCAGCCAGAGATGGCATATATGCTGGTATGTTCTTAACAAAATACTCAAGATAAAGGTATTTGCTGGCACTTTAGAATATAGTATCTCTGTATTAAATGAAAGTAGTAAACTGAAAACATACCTCACTTCTGTTCTTCAAGAGCCAATTTCACCCGTGTTGTCTTACAAACTGCAGATGTATAGCCAGTTAACTGTTTCTTAGGATGCTTTTTGTCATTATAGCAAAGGGATTAAAGTAGAAGCCAGCTGTTAGCTGTTGGGAAGTGGGAGTGTAAGGAAATATTTACCTACTACCTCTTCTTTTTCTTAACTACTGGCCTTACCCCCACATCCCAGTATTTTTTACCTCATCCACTTTCAGGGAGTTGCTATCCGTTAACCAAATGGCTGCACAAAAATTCTTTTGGTTTTCCTCAGCTGGTATCTACTAGGTAATTATGAAAAAAAAAATGAAGTGCTACCAATTTTTCGCTACATGGGGAAAAAATGTAGAACATGTAGCCTTGCAATTTAACACCTCCAATGACTAAAGAACATTGACAGGGTCTAGGTCCTTATGTTAACTCTCTCAACCGTGTTTCAATGAAAAGACCCATAGGAAAATTATGCAAGGATAGGGTAGTTCATTTTCTATAGGAATTGTGATTTTACTTCCTAAAGTACAATGGAAATATCTCAAGCAATATGTTTTGGAAATTCATTCTTGAATATTAACAATTGATTTCTCATTGAAGGAAAAAAAACTTAGCTGTATCCAACAATTCAGATATGGCGGAAGTGAAGTCAATGTTCCGGGAAGTTCTTCCAAAACAAGGTATCTAAATCACAAATACTTAAGTCACAGAATATTATAGGTACCTAAAAAGTAGTAGGCATGCACACAGTGGGCTCAGTAGCTAGACATCTGTAACTATTTTGTGTCTTTGTATGCCACATTTACCATCCACTTTTACTATGGTTTTTTTATAAGCAGGTTATAAAGAACTCATCCATTGCTTTTTTTCCCCCAGTAAAGGATGACAAATGAAGCACTGTTAAACCTGGGACTCCTGTTATACTCAAATCTGCAGATTATAATATGATATTTTCAATGAAAAAAATAGTACTGTAATTCACCATGTTACGGTCTGAAAATGGGGAAAAGAAACCTAAGTCAAGCAATCATTAAGAAAAGCTGACAGTTTAAGTTAAACATTCAGTAGTTAATATTCATGTTAATACCATTCTTTTACTATATTAAGTATTTTTATGCACTACATACTTCTCCTGAATCTTTTTGCACATTAAACATTTGTCACAAAATGTTATGTATTTCATAGGTAGCTTGGAATTTTAGGTACAAAGTTCAAAATGTCATCCTTTTGAACTCCCTAGTATTAAACGTTGATATATTTGAAGTAACTGTGAAAACAACAGATTTTCATTGATAGTGGATTAAGTCTTTATTCTAGCTGCAAGTCCAAACTACCAATTGACTGGGTCATCTCAAATTATTTCTTTTTAAACTTAGGGCAGTTGTCTGTGGAAGATATAACCACAATGGTGCTGTGTAAACCCAAACTTTTACCCTTAAAATCTTTGACTCTGGAAAAACTGGAGAAAATGCAGCAAGCAGCCCAGGATACGATTCGCCAACAAGAAATGGCAGAAAAGGAACAACAGCAAATAACTCACTGAATGATAACTTAGCACTTCTCCAGAATGCCCTGTATTAATTACAGATAGAAAATAATTTGCATCTGTATGCTGAAAAGTGTGTGTTACTAAAACTGATAGTGCTGGTAAATAGTATGAAAATACCCAAGACTAATGCAACTTGTATTGTGATTTTAGACACTCTGGTTTGTATTGAACATAAACAATTAAAAAGCTTTGAACCCAAATTTTAAGAGTTTTTTATTCTACCCAAGTTTTTAGAACTGTAAATTATTGTTCACCATTCCTGTTACTATCAGTCTTACGGGTAAAATTCTTAGGCACACGTGACTAAATGAAACTCTTATATTCAGAAAATCTTTACATTTATTAAAAATTGAATTTGATCATACATTCTAATCTTATACAAAGCGTTTTGGGCTTTTACATTACCTAATTTTAAAACTCTTTTACAAATCTTGTTTCATGTTTAAGGCTATTTTGCCTGACCAACTGATCCTACCAGTAATGACAAAACTGTATTTCCTAAATAAATTGGAAACCCTCACTGAGCTTTTTGTTTTCATAAAGCTTTTTTATGTTTATTTACTTATTTATTTTTAAGAGCGAGGAGGTGCGAGCAGGGGAGGGGCAGAGAGGGAGAGAGAGAATCCCAGGCAGGCTCTGCACTGCACTGCACTGCACTGCCAGTGTGGAGCCTGATGCAGGGCTCAAACTCACAAACCATGTGATAGCGACCTGAGCAGAAATGGAGTTGGACACTTAACTGACTGAGACACCCGGGTGGCCCAGTCCCCTGAGCTTTTAATTATACTGATTTTAAGGACTAAGAATTACCTGGCTACCTTTATCATCCAGGTATCAAACATAAAACTACAGACTTGAAAGAGCCCATGAGATAAATATCAACATTAAATTTGGAGTTTTAATTCTAAAAGGCTGCCTAAACCTGCAATGGGCACATTCCTAATACCTTTGTAAATTCTGAATATAATTCTTGGCTGGTTGCTACCATCAATAGACCATTTAAATTAGCACAGACCTTGAGGCCTTGCCGAGTAATTAGAATTTATTGAGGTTAGAGGTTAGAAATGTAATCATTCTTTAGATAACTGCAAAAGAGGTTAGAAATGTAACCAATCTTTAGATAACTTATTTATTAGTGGCTAATATTTTCTCAGACACTGGGTAAATGTAAGACTTTTTGAGTCACTGAAGAATAATTTTTTATAACACAAACAGTAGCTGGTAACAGAACTTAAGAATGATGAAAGATATTATTTGGATAATAATTGGATTATTATCCAATTACTGGATGTTTTAACTGAGCCTCCAAGGCCCCCCAAGTTCTTTTGATTTAAAAGTTTGCAAAGAACAGTTTCAATTCACTAGGTTCAAATATGCTCCCTTAGAGGATTTAAAATTTGCTGTGTAAAATAAAAGTTTTTAAAAAGACCTAAAATAAATGTACTCCCAATGAAGAATCAACACTGCTTCACATGTTTTATTTTGTCATACATTCTTTTAGAACCAGGTTCATTTTTCCAGTTTTGTAGAAAAATAGATGTTCCAGCCACCATTTATTTAACTGTCTAGTCTTTAAGACCAATCAATATGTTCCCTGGAAAAATGAATAAGTCTTATGACTAACTCATTTTCTTAAAATTCTTTAAGACAAAGAAATAACTTTTTTTTTTACTCCCAAAGCACAGTATTCCAACAGCAGCAGCCAACATGGGGTTTTAGCAGCTTAACTTCACCCCCTAAATAAAGCTTTGTATAAACCAGTGATTTTACTACAAAAACACTGTCCTTGAAAGAAAGGAGTGGCAGTCAGACATCAATGCAAAACTTGGAATGATTAGGTCATAAACATGGCACTTACAAAAGGTAGCTTATGAGAATATTCCACTTAAGAAGTGGTTACTCTTCTGTTCCTCCTTTACAACCGCAAAAAAAAAAAAAAAAAAAAAAAAAAAAGGAAAAGAAAAAAAAAAAAAAAAAAAAAAAAAAGGAAAGGAAAGAAAAGAAAGAAGAAAACACTTCCTTTAAAAATTCCCCTTAAATTGTAAGTTTATAAAATTTCAGAAATGCCTTGTACCCAAAACAAGTGCTTCAAAAACAAAACAAAAAAACCTGTGCTAACTCTTACAATTCAGATATATTTATGTGTTTTGTTAATAACATCTAAGTCTGTAAGAGTTCTCATATTCAGTAGCTCTCTGGTTTAAGACGACCTCCATCTCCTTCACTTACAAAACGCTTTCTGCCCCTGTAATGAAAAGAACACAAACATGAAAATGAATACCAGTACTAACTATAACAAACAAAAAGAAACAACAAAAAATCTTGGGTTCTTTTGGTTAGTTATTAGGGTTTGAAGGGTTCTGTTGTTAAAAAAGTGAGCATGCCTCTAATTCTTTTGAAAGACTCTTTCCTTGCTATGTATCTTAGGATGTAACAAATCAAATGAACTGCTAATCTAAGCAGTTTTTAGTTAAATAAAAGCTTAATTATTGAATAAGTTTATTGTCCAAATGGAGTTATGTAAAAAAAAAAGTTAAAATATAAGGCAAACATGCTATTTAGAACTTTAATATTTACTTATATGAGTATTACTTGAAAGCTAAACAGTGAGACAGAGAAAACACCAACATGATTTGGAATTATACAAATCAGAGCTACAGAACCTATGAAAATATCCATGTTAAAAAAATTTTTTTAGCCTTTTCTTAAATATAGAAAACCCATAAACTGAACATGGAAAAATCAGAATCCAATTATCCTGTCTATGCCCCATTCTGGGATTCCTATTTCTTTTTGTTATTGTTGTTTATTTATTTATTTTGAGAGAGAATCCCAAGCAGGCTTCATGCCATCAGCACAGAGCCCAATGTGGGGCTCAATCTCACAAACCATGAGATCATGACCTGAGCTGAAATAAAGAGTTAGAGGCTTAACTTAGCTACCCGGATGCCCTAGGATTGCTGCTATTTCAAACTCAAGAGGCCTTGCTTTATAATGTAAGCACACTTATGCTGTATGTAGCCAAACACAATAGCAACAGCCCAGGAGGAATATTTGACCAGCAGCCTTTAAGGCAGTAAGTGGAAAACAGAGTTGTCCAGAATTAGTCCTCATTTTCTGACCCTAGACCAACATGCACAAGCATTCAAGATTACACACAAATGTGCACTTCACCCAAATAAGCTAATGGATAGAGGATAAAAAGACAAATGAAAATGTAGGTATCTCCCCAACTGATCGTTGAGAGTAAAGCCACAATAGAAATGACCAGTTAGACTTCTAAATAGAGGCTGAAAAATGTAAAAAGCTAGTGACCAAGGTGTTGACCCCTTTTCACACTAAGTCTAAATGGAGATCAGCTACATTTTCCCGTACATACAGACTTCAGACTATAAAAATGAGACTGAGATGCAGAACAAAGCAGTAAGTAGCAAGAACCCTTGCCAATGTTGACAGTATTTACTGACAACTTCGCACATAAATGATGCCACCACCAAGCAGAGAGAGAGAGAGAGAGAGAGAGAGAGAGAGAGAGAGATTTGGGAGATGTGTATTTGCAAACATTTTTTTTATCAAAGCCACTAAACAGTATCTTCCTCCATCTCTCAATAGCTTCTAAACTTTCTAGAGCAAAAGACACTACCAAGAACTATTTTTCTGAGATTTAATTTTCACAACATACTTCAATAAAAATAGACAAAGCTTTGCAATTTTCTCAGTTTAAAAATTACAAAAACTTAAAATGTACATAAAACAGACATACACAGACCACCTGGGTAGCTCAGTCAGTTAAGCACCTGACTTTTGATTTCAGCTCAGGTCATGATCTCATGGTTTGTGAGGTCATGCCCCGTGTCTGGCTCTGTGCTGACTGCGTGAAGCCTGCTTGGGATTCTGTCTCTCTCTCTCTCTCTCTACCCCTCTCCTGCTCTCTCTCTCTCAAAAATAAATAACATTAAAAAAAAAAGATAAACACAAGTTTAGCTATTACTAACATTTATGCCTATTTATTATAAACTTACATTATAAGCTTTATTTTAACCACAAAAAGATTCATCAACTCCCAAAGAGTTAGATCCTAGTAGCACAAATACAGTATCTCCAAAGAATCACACACATATATTCTCTAATAAGGTAAGATCTAATTAGCCTCAATTCTTCATTCTGTGAAGGAGTAAGGAATGGAAGCTACATGGAGTAAGGAATAGCCTATATCTTTGAAGCTGGAAAAGGTCTGGATCCATCCTTAGCCTCTACTGTGTGTAAACTTAGAAAACTTCTATTACACCTCATTAAACCTTAATTTTCTCATCTCATTGGTGATAATACCTACTCCGAAATAATATTTCAACTACTTAGAACAGAGTCTAATACACAGAACTACTACACAAAGTTTCCTTCCAGTGAAAAGGGGCTTCATGAAGTAGCACTGTAGAGATTTAGAAGGGGGCAAAATAAGCTTTGCCTTAGTTTTTCCATAAACTCAAAACTGATGGTTTTCACTCGAGTGGCTTCAGGGGAGACAGTAATTTTTCTGAAGAATTCCAGAATTTTTCTGGAATGACAGAAATTAGCTTAGCCTTTCCAAGCACCTCAGCCAGCATTTTATGCAGAAAAAGTAATAAAATACCTTGAAGGACAAAGATCTCTGAGTTGTTTGGAAATTATTCCAGCCTGAAAACATTCTTCTACAAACCGCTCAAGCACGGAGTATGAATGTGGCACATCCAGATTAATGTCTGGAATTTCATTGTAAATTCTCTCATAACCCTAAAACAATGAAATTATATACAGAATTGTTAGCGCATATAAAGTACATAATGCCATACAAGCCATCACTGTCATCTACTGACATTTAAAGACCAAACATTCATAAAATTAGACTGAAGTCAGATCTGATCTTTGAAAAGTATAGACAATAGGTATATGTGTCATAGAATGTTTTCTTTAAAGTTATTCTCTCAAAAGAGTTCAGGCAGACATCAGACCCTGGACACATTTCTTCACCATCTATATACATTTAGTATACTCTTAAAAATATAAGCAAGCACCTCCCCAATATTTTAAATAGGAATAAATTAAATACTTTAAAATTTATTTGTTAAGAGATCATGTTCATATTTATCTCTAGATATAAAATAAAAATATCACATCTAAAAAATAGAACTCTTGAGGAAGAACAATCACATCTTTAAAAAATACAGGTAAACAAAACCACTGAAGTGGTTTCTTTCCCAAGAAATTAAATATAATCACAACCATTAAATAAAAACAAAAAAACTAAAGGCATAATAGTATTTAACTTACCTAAAAGAATATTTCACTGACAATTCATAATATTTATTCAATCCTTAAACATTGAAGGTATAAGCCCAAAATTTGTTCAAAATAATATTATACTTACTCTTTTCATTTGGTCTAGAGTAATGGTAGAAGATTTCCAAAGAGATTTTAATAAATTCAAAATCATCTTAAATGTATTTTCTCCAGTTGACTCTAAAACCATTACAATGGCCTAAAAATTGAATGAATGAATGAATGAATGAATGAATTTTTTGGTCATTT